ACAGCTGTTGTCATAATTTGTTCACATGGTTTGTTTACGAAACCTCACAGGCATACAATTCCACTCAAAGCTCTATTAATCTACTCAAATTCATTTTGAAAACACTTATAGCGAGAGAACTAATTTAGCGGTATTGGTAAGATATTTCACAGGAATGTATTTTTAGAGTGGGTAGTAGATACATAACTGAAGTAGACATTGAAATATTGATTTACTCTTGCCATCATACATGTCCTCCATGTTTTCATCCTTTTCTTCAAAATTGAAGACAGGTGAAGAATACCGTTTATCCAGTTTCTTTTACAATTTCCAAACTGTAGGCATTATTCTGACAGCTAATCATGGGTGATTCACGAAGAGCCAGAAATTCCCATGGACATTATAACTTCCGTAGATTAGCTAACTGATCAAGCTATTCATTTGACACTTTTCTGTGATATGAAAAGCAATTTACCTTGGAGGTGGGCTGGGAAAATTCAGCTGTGATTTGTCTTGTAGCTTTTTGTCTCATAACATCAGTCATTTCAAGCAGTCATACCCCAGTTAGTAGCAATCGTGCAATCGTGTGAACAATGACCTCCGTAATCTGTGAATGTAGTTTAAGGCATTTCTTAAACTACGGCTTACATCCAGTTGACGGAAAACTCCATGCGCCTTTTGAACTTATCATGCTGAAATCTACAATATCAAGAAGTATTTGGAATCGATCAGGGCGTCAAACGAACTAGTTTTAATCTTATTTTCATAATACTCAGTGTTGATGATGTTGTCTTTTTCACTAGATGAGCAAGCTAGGCTCGTACTCACCCATCCTTCTTTCCTGTATTTACTAACAGTTATTCAGTTATTCGTGCATCGGTGGCACACTGGTTAGGACGCTCGCCGACCATGCACATGGTCCGAGGTTCGATCCCCGGCCGACGCACTCCTTTGCCTCGCTAAACCAGAAATAAAGCTGATAAAGAGGAAAGGTTGGGCATGAGGCTAGCAACCCCATCCTGTAAAATAAACACTGCTACAGAAACTTCAAGCTAGTGGCTTGAAGCCCTATGTTCCACCGGGAACGTGAAGGAATAAAAAAAAATTCAAGTAGATGGTGTTTAGTGGTGTGTTCTCTAGGAATAGAAGGAGTCGTGTTCGGCGACTAGTCTGCCGTAGAACTACGATCGCATAGAGAAACTTAAAGAATAGATAGTTACCTTTATGGACACACGCGACAAAATTTAGGAGAAGAAGATATTGAAATAGGCATTCGATTTCAAGGTTGATTAAATGGAGTTTTTGCATGAAATATTGTTTCTAATGCTACAGATATTTAATAGACCCTTTTTCCTGTCGTTTAAGCTGACTGATATTAGCAAAATATTTCTACGGGATTATTGACAATGAGTAGTCATTATGCTCTGTTTTATTGATAACCAAACAACAGCAACAACAACCAGCACAAATCACCATCAATGGGACAGATTTGACAGAGGTTACTTCCTTCACTTATCTGCCTAGGCAGCATCGTTTCAACCACAGGTAGTCGGAACGGGTGAAGATGTCAAAGTCAGCCATCCAGAATTGGAAAGGCAAGGTACACCTTCAACAACCTGAAACCAGTTTAGAAATCTTCTCCATTCAGCCAGCAGAAACAACAAGATTCGAATTCTGTTCAACACAAATTTCAAGTCAGTTAGTCAGTTCTTCTATACGGGACCCAAGAAACTTGTCCAGCATGTTACGAAAAGCATTTCATAGAACCTGTTGCAGACTTATATCGACAACTGCCTTAGTTGGATTAATTTTGAAGATCAACAAGAAACTCTGTTTGGGAACAAACTAACAGGCGAGAGCAGATTGATCAACAAATATGTAGGAGGAAGTGGAGATGGACTGTCCGTGCATACGTTGAGAAGGCCGTCAAATGACATCGTGCATAATGCAGGCTATTGCTCGAGTAGAATCCCAATAGGAAGTGACGAGTGGGTCGTCGATGCAAGGGTGACATGGAGGAGATGAGCGATTATGGTCAATGGTGAGCCCAGCTGAAGAGGACGGCAGAAAACAGAACAGAGTAGAGATGGGTTGTTGAAGGCCTACGCTCCACTTTGAAACTAAGTAAATAATAATCTGTTTATTAACATGACAATATGTAGAAGCTGATTGCAGGCTACTGTCTGATAAAATCATATTCGTTCTAAATCGTTTATAAGTCTAGGTTAAGTCAGTCAGTTTTCATTAGACATTTGAGACAATTTAGTGTTAGGCACATATTGTTTATTATCGCGAAATCAATAAGTTACTTTAGATTATTCTTTAGCAACGGCCAGATGTCCAAAACATATTCAGCATTGAAGAACAACTATGTGACTAAGTGATTTGATTGAAAGACTGCGAATTCAATAGAGCATGACAGACTATTTCTTGTTATGACTTAAAAAAACATGAGTTGTTCCCTTTTGTTTGAGATTCGACACGCTGAATCCTTGATGCATGAAGTCTGTTTGAGTCTACTTTGACTACATTTCGTCAGCACTCAAATGATAAATATATTACAAACTGTAGGTGAAAATCAAATTTGTAAGGTAGACTTTGTGTTTAATATTAACAGAAGTTACATGTTGAGTTAACAGACAAATAAAGAGAATTGCATTTTCAGTTAGTGAAAAAACTACTTCTGCATGCAGAGTTTAGGATTTAACATGCTGATTGCCATAGCTTGTCAAAAGAGTACGAATGAAATGAATGTCAAATAATTTTCTAAATCGTTTAAGCCTACTTATAAGTAGCATAAATAATGGATATAAAATTCGTTAGCCCATATTCCCAATATGAAAAATACTAATATTAATAATATCTTTATTCTGGATAGTATTGATGAAATTTACAGAATTTTCAGAGGAGTCTACCGCATTATATTTTAGTTTCGTACAATGTCTTCAAGTAAAACAATAACTGATACTATATCCTTTGATAAAATGGTCTCTGGGCTGAAGCACAAACCATTCCATCATGATATATCTGCTTCGTCTCCTTCAAGAAATCCATCCACGATATCGATCTGGTTAAAAGCTAATTTCAAGATGTTCAGCAGTTCATTTTGAGACGCAAATACTCAACTGAAGAACAGTTATCTCATGTACTGGAACATGTTTCCACCCACAATTGGCTTATTCATTCCTCAAGTTTAGTAGGAACTTGAGAATCAGAAGCTTGTAAGCACTTTAAATATTCACAAGAGTTGATAATACCACTAGAGTTCATATTTTAATCGATTAAAAGGAACCGAAGGAGAGAAAATATGTGCACTCGAGTAATTGAAGTTTTCGGTAGCTCAAGTTTTAATCAGGCCGCTATATGATATGAATGAGAAGACCGTCAGTTAGCAAACAATATTCTTTTCGAAACTTTACCTCAAAGGTTTGAAGTTATACAGAGCTCGTAAGAACGCTTATAAAGGTGAATTCTTAGTAACAACTGGTAACAAAACATATGAATAAATTACTCATCCACAAAAATTATGAAAGAACAATGAAATTTTGTTAAATCTAAAATCAATCTAAAAGCATTTAGTGATGAATATTGCTCAGAATTGTTCATCAGAAGAGTAATAGATTCTGAATGTATGTGTGTATATATAAGGTACATTCTAAAGTATGAAATTCAAGAGGAAAGGTGATAAAAAATAACAGAGATATATGGATTTAGAGCATAAGTTAAAATGAAGATTTAAGGTCATGGCAGTAAAAGGGATTAGACAAACGGCTTTTGTATACACAGTTCATGGCTTTCCTTGTGTATGCCAACATCTTCTGTTGTGAAGAGAATGTTTAGTAGGAATTTCTTTGAATGACTTGACTTTGTCATGAGTATGTTAAGTGTATGTGGTTCATTGTTGTCCTAATAATCGAATAATTTGAAAACTCGGAACCCGGATCTCGCTGTTCATGCTGATTGAGTCAGTGCAGAAGATTTCCAGTCTGGGTTCAGGTTGGTGAAGGTATATCCCGCCTCTCTGTTTCTGGCCTGCTTTCACATTTTCATCCGTTCCGACTGCCTATACTTGAAACAATGTTTCCTAGATAAGTGGAGGCAGGAGGTAAGCTCTATCAAATGTCTTCCGTTAATGGTCATTGGTGCTGGCTGTTGCTGTTCACCTGCTGCCTTGTATTCTCTTCCTGCCTGTTTCTTTAGTCAGTTTGTTGGTTTTGGCCTGCAAGTCTTCGAGTTTGTGTAACACTTAACATAAACCACCCGTGGAATCCATACCTTCTAGAGTCTCGTAGAGGCAATTGCAGAGGTAGCCTGAAAATACTCCAGTGAAAGGAATAAATGGGGATGTATTACTGAAGCCATACGTTCCCCTAAGAACTAAAGGGAATAATAATAATGATAATTTTATTTCAACTTTTGAGCAAGAACTAATGTGATTTAGATAACAATTGAAGAAGCAGGAAGTACCGGATAGGTATTTATTTCATTTTGGGACTCTGCAGCAGGACGCCATGTGACCCCAGTGGGAGTCAGACCTGAGACCGCCAGGTTATACAGCAAAGTTCATTCACCATTCACCAGCTTGGGCCGGAATTCAGTGACCTCTAAATTCCAACTTTTGTGAATTTTCTGTCCGTCTGACGCACACTAGTGACTGGTTTCATGATAAAGTTCTCTGCAGTTCCAATGGTGTCCATCGAATCCGGTATGAGAACAAGTACTTGCTGATGACATCGGCTAGAGGTATCACTCAGAGATTTGAAATAACAGAAATTAGTGTTAATGCGTCCAAGTCTCCGGATGATGCATGGACTTGGCCTTGTAGTCAAAAAGGTAACTGGTTTGATTTCTGATAGGGTAATGGTTGAGCAATGCTGAGAAGTCCCAAACTAAGGCGAAACGACTCTCTAGTTGATATCAATCTGTGATGAAACCTGGAATGTACCAGTTCCCTACAAGCTAACTCCTGAAGATATTTTTATCATCTATTTTCTATCCCCTTCTTTTTCTTCTCATTTCAGTTATCCAGCTAACTTCTAATGACCTTATCCACTTTTCAAATTAACCTCCTGCATCAATTTAAACAAATTGGACAAATTGTTGCACCATTTGAAGATGGCGGCATTTTAAATTATTTATTTGAACCAATTCAAGTGAACAGTACACTGGTGAATATTTCATCTGTCAACAGTTCAGTGACATTATTAAAATTCATTGAGATAAATAATACTTATACATTTATTAGTAATATGATCAGCCGTATGCTATTCGACACTGTTCAAAATATCAATGTATATAATGTAATTTCAACAACCAATCAAAATCAAAGCAATGCTGAACTGTTGAATACCACTTCAGCAAACATGACAAGGAGATTTCTAGCTGTGATTATTATTGAATGCCTTTTATTCCTCATCGCCTTTATCATTAGTCTGCTGTATTTTGTAATGATCATTTGTTGTCCTTCTTGTATGAGTAGCCTTAGAATGCCTTCAAAGTATTTTGAAATTTCACAGATATTAAAACAAGACAGTGATAATAGTTTTTCAAATAATAATAATAACGCCAACAATAATGTAAATTCAATCTACGCTGCAAAAGATCTACTTCCCAATGGAGATATTGAAAATTCCACCCAGAAAGCTTATCAGCAAGAATCAAGAACACTGGAATGGTTACAACGATCGGATACAAGGAGAATATCTACTAATTCTTCTGATATCTACATCAATGTAAGTTGAAAACTTTGACATTCGTAATCTTTTCATAATAATGCAGATTTATAACTCAGGTTGATGTTTTGAGGTGTTGTTGTATTCTCTGAGCTATGTATGGTTTGACTGTGAACGCTTCACAGTTTTCCTGGACAACATCTTCAGAGATGAACTTAGAAAGTTATACATCGGTGTAGTAACAGTTTCTCCTAATAACTTTCAATGTGACTGGCTGTTTTCTGAAGATGTTCTCATCCTCACATCCATTTGTATTATTTCGCTGACCAGATAGTCTACCTTTCGTCAGCAAAGTTCAGCGAAAGCGTTCCGATGGATGCAAATGCACGAGTGACCTTGAGCCGACCAATCATAAAAATGAGGAATTTTTGCACAAAAGCTGACGTATATTCACAAGAAAACGCGTGATAACACATGAAACAGGGGATCTTTCTCTGACATGACTTAAAAATACGTCCCAGTTATAATGAGGAGTATAGGTTGCTAAGTTAGACTAGTTTCTGTGCATGTATTCACCGGGGTGACTGAAGATGCGCTGTTTTTGTGAATCATTTATCTCTCTTATCCTGTTGCGCAGTCTTCCTTAAAAGCCCTCGGTTGAATTACGATGGTTTCCAGTAAGAGGATCGATGACTACTTACCTAGAAAATTTGGATAATAAAACAAATTAAAATAAATGACATCAATTCTAAATCTATTGCCAATCGTAACCCAAACATCAATCCTAAACCTAATTACAACCTTTATCCTAACGTAAAACTAATCCTAATTGTGATCCTGATCCTAAGCCTAACCCTAATACTTACCTTAATCCTAATCCCAACCCTGACAAACTAATAACACATTGTACAAACAGTACTTAAAAAAGATCTGGGTGAAATTTGCGCCTTAGCTGGTGAAAAGCGTTGGTATTTCAGCTATGATAATGACAGAAGCCGTCAGCCAACGACTAGCATGCGTTCAAGATAATTGGAGCGTTCTCACTCCAGGGATGCTATCACTAGACTTCGCCTTCTCTTCTATATGATTTCCTTTTTATTGACTGATAAATTTTATTTATGTCTATGAGTATGTCGATTGTGGGTTCTTCTGTATACGAGGCTCCTAGGAATTCCATTGGCGTTTTCCGGTGAAATTGATATCCATAATTGTCTGCATGCATTCACTTGATGCAATGGATATCGTGTCCTTGAACAGACAGTTTATTTTTGAGGATGCGAAAACCAAGAAGAAGGTCAGCTTTCATCACTGTAGTGTGTTTTTACAGTTGCTGAGATTTGTTTTGTCTTTCAATGTGGCATCTCTTGCTTGGAGTAATACCATTTAAGTTGATTTTGTGGGCAATATCTTTTTCAAAAGGTTTTAATAGTCTTACAGTAAATGCAGAGATGTACTTCATATATTATAGAACGAATTTTTTGTGTGCTTTCATTGGATATTTTTTCGGTGGTCATCTTTCGATGAAGTTCCATGAATATCCAGTTTTCCGAAAAGCTAGAATTCTGTATAAGACAATCATTACAAGTTGTCTCTCTGCGTACAATAGAAAACAGCTGATCGCCCACACATTGATAAAGGACCTGTCATATTGTATGAATCACAGTTAAATTTGAATGTGTCTTTGAAATATAAATTTCGAATTGGAAAAGACGGAAAATGTTCTCATAGAATATGAAATATTCGCATTTGTGTGGCTTCACTCCCAATGACATTCGAAAATTACAAAATTGTGTAGGTATAAATAAGATCAGGGGCCTATAGCTATTTAACCTTAGGGACTGTTCATTAGCACAGAAACTGTCTGTTAATCTGGTTGTTGTTGTTAGCCAGGAATCTTAACCACCTCTGTCTTCCCTATGTCCGCCTGAAGCCCTTCCTATCTTTGATGCTGCTTCTGCCAACCTGTTGTTTTTCACTTGCATATCTTCCAGTTTGTGAGAAATCAAGTATGTATCATTGGCGAAGTCCAGATCATTCAAGTTTTTTGCCTGGGTCCGTTTTATGCCTGTTTCCTCTCTGGCTGCTGTTTGTCGCATTATCCAGTCTACCACCCTCAATCAGGAAAATTATTCGAGACAGTAAACAGCCTTGTCGTTCCCTTGTCTTCACTTCGAAGAATTCCGTGACTTTCCTGTTGTGGATTACTTGGCATGCAGCATTGTCGTACAACTGTTGGATGAGAAGTATAATTACTGGTGGCACCCAGCAGTAGAGAAGTAGTTGCCAAATAACCTCTCGATCGACACTGTCGAAGGCCTTTTCAAAGTCGATGAAGCTGAGTGAGGTGGAGAGCTGACTGTCATTCCAAGATCAGTTCAGTGATAATACGTAGTGTGCGATTTGATAGATGCATAAACTTTATCCACGAGGCATTTAATTTTATCTTTTTCAAATAATTCCTGCTAAGCAATATTGGATCGATAGTCTGTTGACTGATTTCATATATATAATGGGATATTATCATTATTATCAGTGCTAGTTTGAACTGTTTATCCGAGTTACCAAAGCTCTTTATTCAGTGATCTCTCTTTTTCCCATCTTCTTTGCTTCGCGCATCAGTGATATCGTGTTCTGGTTATTGTCCTTGAGAAGAATATTTAGGACAATACGTTGGCAAATCTACTAGCTAGGAAGTTCTTTGCCACAACAGACTCATTCACTACAAGGCTGTATTGGCATTCATAGTATACTGACACAGTTTGGTTATGAATCCTGTGGAATTTGGTATTTTACATATCAAGACTGCTTTTTAATGTCAGATATATTGCAGATATTTAAGTCTAACCACTGAATTCCACACTGTATGAGTGACATTTTAAAAACCCCTTGAATATAAACATAAAGTTTGTTCAGATTGTCTCATGTGCATTATTTCACTTTTATTTTTGTTTATTCAGATTTTAACCAGCTGATTGAAAGTGAAACTAAAACAAAATGGAAGCCATTCAATTTTCAATGTACATTTCTCTTTCTCTCTCCAACGTCATTGTTTATATATATATATTCATTATACAACTCTAGAAGCTTTATTTCGTTTTATTTTTGTTTGTTTCAGGATCCAGGTGATAGATTTAAACAAATAAATAAACCATCACCATCATCATTCATGGATTCAATGGATTCTTCTACAATTATATTCGATGATTTTAATGGTGGAATTCCAAAAGCCCGCGAAAATCAACCAGCATTACCAATTATTCAACCGTTTCAATATAAGAAACATAGAAATATTTATCTTATCTTAAAGATAACAGTTTATACATTCATATTTCTACTAATTTGTTTATGTACTATTTGTTTATATACTATGGACTATACATACGCTCAATTCAATCCTAAACTATTAGATAATTCAACCAATCAAACATTAATGACATTTAGAAATTCGTTAATGAATGAAGTAGTCAGGAAACTGCCTGACTATCTAGAAGAGATAATAGTTCAAGGGCAAACAGAAACTGAACGAATATTTCAAATTGTTGAAAAGGAAATAGATGTAAGTGGTTTTGTCAGCCGCCAATGACTATTCACTTTTATGATTTTATTCGAGATACAACGATTTTAAAACTGAAGACACTATCATACATGTACTCAACCGAAAAATGAATTATGAAATGCTCTCCAGGCCCTCGAATGGAACTTGAGTGGGTCCGTAAACTAAGACAGTAATTACTAATCGTCAGTTAGTTAGGCCACCAAAAAACGCTGAGTCTTTGATAGAAAATTTAAAATCAATAATAGTAACGTCTTTCTTCCGAAAGGTATTCATAAAATGCACAGAATTTTCAGAGGAGTTTATCGCATCATATTTTCCTTCAAGTAAAATATTAGTTGACAGTACATCCTGCCTTTAACACACAGGGATCTCTGAACTGAAGCACAAACCATTCCATTATGTGACATATATCTACTTCATCTTTCCTTCAGGAAATCCATCCCCGATATCAATCTGTTTGAAAGCCAGTTATGAGATGTTCAGAAGTAAATTTCGAAACCAAAGGACATAAACGCAGAACAGTTATCTCATGTTGTAATGGTGTAACGACAGAAGGCAAGAGTCAGGCAACAGATCATTTATTAAGGAAATCAACGCATATTTATATATGTCTTCATGTACATTACTATAGATATGTAAACAAACAAACACAGTCTTCCGATTGGTTGTTTCTCACGACAAATCTTGGGAACGTAAATATTGACGTAAATTACTGTCTACCAATTTGGCTAGTAGACAGCTCTCACCACAATGGAACACGTTGCCGTCCACAGTCAAGTCAGGTCTCTCCTCAAGTTTAGCAGGAACTTGAGAAACAAAAGCTTGTAAACATTTTAAATACCCAAAAAAGTAGATAATAATACCACTAGAGGTCGTATCTTAATCGATTAAAAGACACCGAACGAGAGAAAATATATGCACTTGAGAGATGAAAGTTTTTTAGTAGCCCAAGTTTTAAGCAAGCCGCCTCGCATACTGTTTTCAAAATAATCTCCTCCAAAACTATTAAAGTTTCAGTTTTATTAATATAAAATATTACTCAGGGTTTGACCCTGAACTACAGCGTATTTTAGTCACAGTAGTTAAAATGATCCTTCACAGAACCATACTCCAGTCATTCATCTAGTATAAGCTCAAGGTGTTTGTCCATTTGTTAATATATAACTCCAGGTCAATGGAGATCATAACGACTGGGGTGAAAGAATAGGAACTCTATTCACTAAGTGCTTGATTCCATTATGACTATTTCCTCGGGTTCAGAATGGAGCATAGGTCTTCAACAGCACATCTCCATCTCACCTTGTTCTCTTCAATCTTCTTTAGCTGGTTACACAATTACTCATAATGTATGATCTCCTCTCCAAACTATCTCCCCTATTTGACCATTGAAGTGACGTCCAAGTCGTCAATTCCTATTCAGGACTAGCGCGTGATGTCAGCCAACGGTCTCCTCAGCATGTGTCCGCCAACATCTTTTATCATTTGCAACTGAGAAGGAATATATCTCCATGATGTATTTGTCTTATGTATTTCAAGGATTCAAATGACAGAAAGCCATGAATCAAAGCTTCTTGTATATTAGCTGGTCTTCACTTAGGATTGAAAGTCTACAATATTAATTGCTTTGTGTACATCGGGCATTCGTACTGGTAGTTTGTAATGACTTGGACAGTTTAGTGATCAACTCCATGACTTGAGATCTGAATAGTCCCGATTCAAGTCTGGGTTGTGCATACGGTTCATGGATGACTACAGCGCATGCAGAACCTCTCACCTAACACTGGTCAGTTTTGGTTACACTAAGAAGTAAAGCTGTGCCACACCAGATAGACCCAGTGGTGATCATGTGGCATACCTCGACCAAAAAACTAAGACGTATGTGAAAATACTAGTCAACGCTAGACGGCCTAACCTCGTGGAGATACCTTTTATTGCTCTAGTCTTCTACATCTTACTGATAATGTTCTCATCATTCTTTGTGCAGAGGACTAACGCATCTTTTGGTACAGGTCAGAGAAAGCGAAAGATACTCATAAATTTACTACCTGAACTTAAGTAGTACTGGTGAGAATTAACTATTCTTTACAAATAATCTCTGGTTTTTTTTCTTCCTCTTTTGCATAGAAACAGCTGATGTCAACTGTTGATACAATAATGACATCTCTGCTGGATGCGTATAAACTCACCGCGGTGTTAAATACTGCTGATTTGATAACACAAAGTTTGAATGAAACCATAATAGCTAGTAAGATAATTAATTCACAGCAAAAGATTATCCAAGATGTTAATAATTACATCGGTGAACTACGTGGTTATGCCAATATACTGAATGCATCAATCAATACAATTTGTAAACAATTCGGAGAAAATACTGTGGAAAGCGTCAAGTGCAAGGAGTTACAGGTAGATAAATACATGTTTCTTTCAAAACTTCATATACTTCTTACCATTAATAAATTTGAATGAAATAAGTACGAAAAATGAGTACCGGGATTACCTGAGCTCGTATTTTTATTTTTATTATTTCGTGGATTCTTCTTTACTGGTTACAACCGGAACAATTACAAAATTATAAATTAAATGAAAGATGTGGACATACTTTTTCACAATGATAATGAGTAATTCATTAGAGCTGAGAGTAAGATTGGTCAGAAATATTGTAAGTTGTTGAATAATTAATAGATTAAATATTCCCATAGAAAAATTTAGAACAACACATTTAAGCGAACAATATTGTTTTCAATTAGATCTCATCAGGCTTAACTCTAATATATTTAAGTTTACAAATAAAAATTCAAATATAAAAAAGCTAAGATAAATGTATCATCGACATAACTGTAATACATATCAAACTGCTTGATGATATCCTTCAATTTCCCGTTTTCAAGTTTCGCGAGAAAACCGTCAGCTAATATGGGCCTAATGGTGAACCCATAGCTCTTCCATCTACTTGTCGGTGACAGTTATATTGGGCGTACTACTAGACAGCTTGGCCAACGTGTTAGTGAACATCTCCCATCGTGGCTTGGCAAAGGACAGACAAAAACAGTTCGTAGCTCAATTTTGTCACACTTAATTGATTATGGTCATGTAATCGAGAAAACGAGAGCCTTCAAAGTAATTCATCGTATCACACCGAATCTTTCCAATAGATTTCATATTCATTTACTGCACACAGCTGAGGCGATAGGCATTCGAACTATTAAACCTAAACTATGTATTCAAAAAAGTTCGTACAGCCATTATCCCTCCCTTGGCCTATTAAGACATATCCAACTAATGACTTCTACACCACCCTTTGTTTATATTTTCAACCCCTTTCTTATCATCCCTTAATCTTTTCTTCATTATAAACGTGTTTCATTTCCTTCCCTTACAATCTAACATTACTTAATCGGTTCATTTGTTTTTACTAGCCTTTATCGATTACTTCCACCTGAACAGTTGTTTATTTAATCATGCTGTTTTTCATTATTCGTGTTATCACAGATTGCCTCACTTTTTCATCCTTATTATTGATAAGACCATTTTTATTATTACTAATATTACTATTATCATCACTACTATTATGATCAATTGCGCAATTTATATTCACCATCGTATTATCTTATAGACAAAACACCCTGATTGGTTTATATTTGAATTTTTATTTGTAAACTTATGTATATTAGAGTTAGGCCTGATTATGAGATCTAACTGAAAACGATATCGTTCGCTTAAATGTGTTGTTCTGAATAATCAATAGTAAAAAGGGTGGATTATTTATAGAACAAATGCATGACTAAGCTATGAAACAAAGAGGACGGAGTTCAACAAATATTTTATGGGTAGAAATAAAGTTTAACTAGAAGGAGTATAGAAAGTAATGGGTTAGGTAATCACATAAAAACACGTTTATATAAAAAAGGAGGGGTAGGATATGTCATGTTTAGCCGGAAAATTGTTCCCTCCAACTGCGTCTACCAATTTACATGTATGTGCAAAGCACATACATTGGAAGAACAGAGAGAAGATTTATTGTCCGCGTCTCTGAAAATATATCACAGAACCTGAGATTAAAGGGCCCACAAGTAACTAACAGTGCGGATGCACGCCATCTGGTGGACACTGGCCATATTGTCGACAGTCTGAAGGCGTTCAAAATAATCGACAAACAAAAGAAACGTAGTCAGTTTCGTTTTGCTTAGGTAACCTCCATCAAATGGCTAAAACCAAATCTGTGTACGCAGAGAGAGACAGTGGTGAATCTTGAACTACCTTGGTGATAACAAAGCACAGAAATTTCACTACCTTATCTTCTGTCCTGTTTAGAAAACTTGAATTTTTCGGCTAAACATGACTCATCCTACCCCTCTTTTTGTCTATTTTATAAAACCGTGTTTTTCTGTGATTACGCTACACATTACTTTCTACACTCTCTCTAGTTAAACTTTATTTCTACCCACAAAACATTTGTTCAACTCTGTCCTATTTTTTCCAACCCTAGTCATGCAATTCTACTTTAAATAGTCTATCTTTTTCACTTCTATACTGATTTCAAGTTTGATCAAAGATTAACATTGGTCCAAGACCCACTGGCAGTGATGGAGCACCAGATGGGTGTTTTGTCCGACTTTTAGCGCTCTCCCTCAGCGGCATACATCTACGTCCTCATCACTAAGAATGTAACGCGGGACGTTCAGATTAAAAGGTAAGCACACTTACCAATCAACCGTTAGGATAGAATTTAGTGTTCCATGAATGTGGTCTTCTGCTGATTCACGATTTTAAACGCGCCTATCAGTGAGTGTCATTCGTAGAAACTACCCAGAAACATGCCATCCAAAATATATGGAGAAGAAAATGCAAATGGATGGGTAATAAGCTGAAGAGATATGCAAGTGACATCAAACACACCAAGCTATCAAATGGGATCTGATTGGGAAGTACTGGACCGAGAGTTCTTTTGAAGGTGATAGGTAAGAGATGATGAAAGGGGAAATCAATGTTTATGGAGTTGAAGAATGTTGTTGAAATGTGTTCAGGCATTTCATATATCACGAAATAGAGCATCATCGCCTACCAATGTCATCTGTGATCATCTACCCTTACATCCAAATTGGTCAAACACATACAACTACAAGTAACTTCATCATGAAGTCAGTCGGTAGTTAGCATTAGAATAATTTTTAAGTGTTGATTTGAAGGTATTTGATTAGTTTCAGGTTCGAACACGAACTGATATCAACTGGAACTTCACTAGAACTCATGGACTACTAGACCGTTGATTTGTCTTTGTTTAAGACTGCTCATGAGTACGTACCCATAACTGCAAATCTCTTGGCTTGCTGCAAACGATTATTCACCTACTGAGATAGAATCCAACAGTTCATAAATTCTAAATCGAATCCAATAACTGCCGATTGCCTCCAACCATCTAATATCATCAAACTACAAAAAGCACCTAAAAATTGATTCAGTGTTGACTAGTGACCGAGTGCAAGTTGACGTTCACTGGAGTTTTAATTACCAGTCATGTCTAGTGGAGTCCATTCGATCAGGTGTGATGTAAGGTACTCGCCAACGGCATTGGCTGGTGGTGGTGCTCTACACTGCGAATCAACAGAATTTAAAATTCATAAGCTGTCGGACTCCATCCCAGTTGGTGAATAAACAACCAGCTAATTTTTTAAACTGCAAGTGCTAGTTTTAATCCCGATAGTATAGTGGATGTTTCCATCAAACACAAATGTAAAATTGTGCATATTTAGGTTGGAAGGGAGGTGACTACTCCTGGATGGCATTCGATTTTAGAATGTGAGATTCTTCTTATTTTTGTACTAGTCAGCTAAATTTTTGAGCATCTCAAATAAGTGATGTTTTTCCCGTTGAGACACAAAACAAACATCATTCGTCTAAGGCATCATATCAGTTTGGTAATATAAAAACTGACTGGTGCTTTTTGCTTCGGAAGTGTCTCATTAGTATTTTAGAAAGTAATTTGACGTCTGAGATGTTTACTGCTGGGTCGGAATCTCAGTGAAAACCCTATAGCTCAATGAGAACGCAGGTACACACCTCCAGCTGAGGAGCCAGAGAAGTTTATTAGTAGATTTCACAAAGCTGATTGTTGAACAAAGAAGATTCACATTTTATGGAACTTCCCTATTTTTAGGTTCTGCAACGGTTTTAATAGTAATAATTAAAGAAGCATTGGTTTGAACAACAATGTTTTAAAATACATTGAATAAGTATTATGGACAAATTATATTTCAGAAGCATCAGTGACACATAATATGTGTTACTATAACACTAGACTGAATATGGGATAATTAAGGAAAATAAAACAGAATTTACATATCTAAATGGCCCACAGTAGGCCAGGGTAGCAATAGAGGCTAGACTTGTTGCCTTTACACGCAGAACTCTTACTGTTTTGAATGTTCAGCATTGGAAGGCATTTTCCAGTTTATTCTGCATTCGATAGATGACAGTAAAAGACCTATAAGGGCAAGTTTTGTGGCCTGTTTGGATGAGGTGGTCTAATATATGGCAACTGATGGTTTTCACCAAATCGTTATTTAGCCACAATTGTGGCGTACCGGTAGAAGACGATAGACTTGGTAAAGTAATGCTAATTTGGAAATCCGTATCTCTATGTTGCGAAATTAAGTATGTCTCACCTCTAAATCATCATTTGCGCATATCTTTCGTGTTGTGCTACTTCTGTCCTTCGCATTGTGTTTCTTAGTCTTCCTGAATCTGAAGCATTTGCTACCTTGGACACCAAATCTGTCCCCCTGATATTTGATATTTTTATGGCGGTGAACAGCTCTTTATACATTACTGAAATGTCGTATCAGTATTACACGCAACACTCGTCCTTGCCATCAAATAGTCTCGAAAAGAGCCGTTCCGGCCTTCTTGGTTCTACGCATTCTTGTTGCACCTTGGTCCCAGCTTCCTTATCCCAATGTATACATTTCTGCACTTGGTGGATTTTAACTCATATTTGCCTATTTACAATTTTGATGGTATAAACGGTACGACATCTTTCGGTGAGAGTGTATGGTCCTTCCCACTTTGATAGGAGTTCCCAAGAACTCAGCCCGCATCTAACTATGAACTTTCTTTCTCTACACTTAACTTGATCGCCAACCTCAAACGTTACACATCTGATCTTTTCTCTCTGTTCAGATTTCTCGACGGCTTTTTTCTGTTAATTCTTTGCATTTCTGACAGCATCTTTCCGTTCCCTTCGCAGCCCCCTTATATTCCACTACTGATAGGTGGGGCTGGGTCGTGTTGTGTATTGATAATCGTGGTTTCCTCCCACACATCAACTGAAATGGTGACTTCTTTGTTGTTTCCTGAGTGGACGCACGATGTGCTAGTAGAATCAATGGAAGCTCTGTCTCCCAGTTACCTACCTTCGAGGCCAGCCACACCTTCAGCATACGGTTGTTTCTCTCTGCCAGACCATTCGTTTCAAAGGATGATGATCTCCAGCGTTTGCAAACGGGGAATGAATTCGTCACTTGCAATACAAGGGCCTTGACCTGTCAGTATCGTCTTTGGTACATAGAGGTATCAGCAGATACAAAATATTAAGCCCTTAGAACAATGGTCAATATAAATAGCTCCACAGGGGCTTCTGAAATGATAGATACAATAAAAGGTGGCTAGACTAAGTACTCCACTTTTCTCAATATCACAATCCAAATGGATATATATAATCTGTGAGTATATACCGTTGTTTCAACAAAACTTGACCTTTTCCTTCGTTTTTGACTTGACAATCAACTTTTTCTTCTGTGTTTTATTTCAATAGCTTCAAAGTTCAATTTTACTCATGTCTGTAGACACACAAAAATTTGAATTGGAATCTAGCGCTGTAATGGTATTTTTAATGCGAGATTTAAATATCGATTTGAATTCATTAACAGATCAACTTGAAAAGACAAGGGATATTTTGACACAGAAGAAAAATGGAGTAGTACTAACAGTAAGTGTTCTGTTACTTAATCACATTTAATGCTTACTTGGTTATAATGACTAGTCGGTATTACTGTTTTCAGCCTCCATTCTTTATTTGCAAATCCACATATTTCTTGACTGTATTGACTGCAGTTATACACTTATATGTGTGTCGAATACAAATGGCGGTGGCTTACAGGGGATTGTAAAGTGCGCGTTTTGTCCTTTATGAGATTTGTCATCCGAATTTGTCCACCTGTAACGACAGAAGACAAAGGCTAGGCAACAGATCGTTTATTGAGAAAATCAAGTGGCACTTATAGATTTTTATGTTCATTAATGTCAGCAGAGAAGAAACGTCTTCTGATTGGTTGTTTTCTTCCTTAAGGTTATTCTGTTTTGCTTTCGGTGAATGTTTCTCAGAAAATGAAGCCATCTATCTGCGAATCATATTTCCACACGTTAAGTTCACGATGATTGGTTGGTGATTTTCTCAAGATTAAGCTTACTTATGGTTTTTCTCATGACCCTAATTCGGGACATAAGATTGACGTAAACTGTCTACAATTTTGGCTTGTTCGCCGCCAGCTCACACCACATATATGCATCTTCATTGAGTCAAAGGATTCCAACTGAGACTTATAGCCTACTTACGTTCACTGTTTCAGCAGCCGAGTGAACGGATCTATGCTCATTGGAGTAGTCATATATTCGAATTTACTCTTCAGGTGGCTTAAAAGCAGTAGATGGTAAGAGAATTCTACTTTTAGAGTTGCTGCAATGAAGTATATTCTCTAGGGAATTAGAATTTCCCCTCTTTAGAATATTTGCTGCTATTTTGCCTAAACTTCACTTTCATGGAAAAGATTTTCATTATAATAAAGGTTTTTGCATTTCCCAATGAATGAAAAACAAAACGATATTGTTTTTAATTCATGGATAATCCCCATCCAGGCATTAATGAAAACAAAACACGTAGATCAGCGAAGAGTCACTTTTCGGCGAATTCATCTTCTTAGCTGTACAATCGCAAATATATATGCATTGTTTTGTTTGTATGTGTACATTAAGTTTGTCAAACAAAGTTACAATTGGTTAAGGTTAATTTTAACTAAATAAGGTTGGTAATACAGGTCAAGAAAACTAGGGTAGTAACAAAGGTGATGAGTTGTCAGAAACAGTTGTTAAAAGAAGTTATGCAATAATAATATGAATATTTTGATGAGTGAGTTTTACTCAGGATGCACATAGAAACAAAGTAGATAATACGAAACTATGTAAGAGATCTAAGTGAATACAAGAATTATAAGCAACTAAGGAACAGGCAAAGAAACAAAGTTAAGTTATCAGAATAAAATAAAATAAAAATAAAAAATAAAAACATTGTTACCATGGGAGTAGAAGTGGTTGAGTAATCTTCTTTTGTATGCACAGCTCCGGTTTTTCCATGTGAATGGCTAGGGCTTCAGCGATACAGAGGAGACGAAACCGTATTGCCTTTGATAGGTTGTTCTTGACTCTGTAGATTACTTTGAAGGAGGCGTTCGTTGAAATGCAATGATCAGTGCTGACCAGGTGTTCAATTATCGCACTCCTTATTGCACCAGTATTGCCTTTTCGCAACCATGCTGGATAGTGTTCTTGAATCCTCTTGGACAGGATGCGCGTCGAACGACCGATGTACCTGGCTCCACAGCAGCAGGTGAACTGGTATATGCACATAGAAGTGGCCAGATGCGTTTCGCTATTTAATGCTAATAGCTTTATCAAAGTATTATTCAGTTAACTCCAACTCTACCGCAGTAATGAGGTATTTGTTACTATTCTGCTCAGTTCAGAGTAGTAACAGAGTGTTATGGTTATTACAAGTCCACGGTACTGATTATCGACGTATACTTTAATTATTCCTTGATGTTGGAAAATGAGAGAGTAACCTGCAGAAATCACTTGTCATCAGGGATTGTCTGCAGTTGCCAAGACTATGTACTAATCATCTGCAATCAGATTCAACTTTATTATTATTTCTTTACATTTCGAACGGAAGAGAGGACTTCAATAGCGCATCTCCATTTTACTAGGCTCTATACTGTCATTTTCAGCCAGCTGCACAACCTCCTAAATGGTTTCATTTCATCTTCACATGCTGTTCTTCATGTCACTGATGCACCCACTCCCAAATCGTTGCTTTACATTTGCATTTCACCTGACAGCCCGTCTGATATGTGATGTTACCTGAAAGTCTCCTCAGAGCATATCTAGGCCACCTCCATATCCCTGTGTATGTCCGCTGGGCAATGTATCTTTGGTTGCTGCACTGCCTTTCACAGTTCTGTGTTAAATTATCCTCTCTGGCGGCGTAATGTTTTATCTTCAAAATCGAGAGTGGTTGTCAGCTACTGATGAAATTCTGAGGTGACCTGTTTGAAACATCATTTAGTGACTACACACTAAGTCTTTAAACCATACAGAACCAGGGGTTATGTAGATATAAGAGATAAAAACCAGTATCTTTTTTCACTCTACCGAATATCTCTAAATTCATCTTTTGAGCAAATCAGACTCAACTATACCCCATAAAATAAAAATGTATAGTTGTACTCGTAAGAATATCATTCAGAATTTTCAAAACAATGAAGTTGTAAATAATAAATAAATCCCGAAGCAAAATTTATAGCTTACCAGAGTTAGTTTGCAGGGATTCGACTTGTTTCAAGTTTAACCACGGATTGGTAATGGTTATTGAGTCGCTAACTCCCATGGAGTGTTCGACAATTGATACTTCCTACTTCGAGAGTGATTCTCCGGAAGAACAAACCCAGCAGGCTACAAGTCAAGCTCTTAGACCATTTGGCCGCTGAATTGTACCTCTTACCTATCCCTGATTTTGATGTAACCACCAGCCCAATACCTATATGCCCCGTACACTCCATTAGCTGATAGCAATCCGTGATCAAACTTGAGGTAGATTACTTCACTACAAAGTAACTCTTGAAAATTAATCTGAGTCTCTCTCGTAACTGGCCAGAGAACGAATTTGCCCGGAGTTCTAGTGAGAAGTCGTGACCAGTAGCGTACATGCGGTTGGCAGTGGCAACAAACAACCACCGTCAATATTGGCTGGTGGTAACACAGCAGTAGAAGTTAGAATTTTTAGGCGATTAAGTCAAGTCCTAGTGGCTGAATGATCTACGGGTTTGTCATGTAACCAGAAGGTCCTAGCTTCGACTCCCAGTAGGTGGAAACAAGGTGGAGACAGCTATCAGGTACACCCTGCGTGTTTTTAATGGTCCTCTAACTAATATCAATCCATGTTCAACCTTGAAAATTACAACAGTTTTCTTTATCCAATTTTTTCATATATAGATGAAGTCAGCATTTAATTTGACTGAATACCTTCAACAATTTATCGGCATATGGTCGCTGCTTCGCAAACGTCTATTGGACAATGTGAAATCATTTCTCAGTGCAGAGAAACAACAGGAAATTGATAACATTTTAACACTGACATCTTATCTTATATCTGTTATCGGATATTTATTAATCACTCTGATCATGTCCTGTATAACACTGCTGACAGTTTACTGTATTTTGCATACAGTAGACACATACGAGAGACAGTTGTTCGCCTGTCAAATCAATTCTGAAGGTGAGTAGTCTATATTGCTTTGTTGATATAAGAATAAAACTTGGGTAATGTGGTAGAGTGTAATTCAATTATGGGTAAATTTTATTTTGATAGAGTCTCACAGTGTTATACAGTAATATTTACTGATGACGTTTCGAGCACAATTTATTGCTCATAATCATATCAAGGTAATCACACGACTTCCTAAATTCATTTAGATAGTTTCATTGTTTTCCACTTGATTTGCACTTGATTTGATTGGTAGTAATATTTTCCATATTTCAGGTATGAGTGATGATTCATTCCTACAACTAGATAATGACGAAACAATGGTTAGTTTTGATATAACCAGTCTTTATACTAATATACCAGTCAATATGGTCTTAGAAGCAGTTAAAAAAGAACTAACTGCGGATCCTGAACTCAGTCATAGGACAAAGCTGTCCAATGAAGAAATTATTTTAGGGATTCAGCTATGCCCCACATCCACTATATTTAAATTCCAAGGCAAAATATATAGACAAACTGAAGGTGTAGCAATGGGATCACCAATATCCCCTATCGTAGCAGATATATTTATGGATAGCTGGGAAAATATGGTACTTAATGCATTTAATCCTACTCCAAAAATATGGTGGAGATATGTACATGACACTTTCACAGTGCTAAAAACAGAACATACCTCTAGCTTCTTGACACACATAAACTCACTAGTGGAGGGAATAAAATTCACATTTGAAACCGAAAGTGAACGGGGAGAATTAGTTATGTTAGATTGTAAAATAAAACGAATAGAAGAAGGCAAACTACACACTAGTGTTTATAGAAAACCAACGCATTCTAATAGATATTTAGACTTTAATTCATCTCATCCTTTAACTGTTAAGGCAGGCTTAGTTAAGTGTGTAACAAACCGAGCAATGGCACTAAGTAGCACAAAAAAAGACATAAATGATGAGATAAAACAGATAGAAGAGGCGTTGGTGTTAAATAACTATCCTTTAAAATTCATTAAGAAGATTGAAAAACGCCAAAATAAAAATAAAAATAATTGTGAAACTAGTAATAATAACATAAATAAGAAAGAATATAAGTCATCTACAGTTATACCATATAAAGAGGGGACATCTGAGACCCTACGTAGGATTCTAAATAAAGCAGGAATCAGGGTGGCATTTAAACCTACAAACTCACTCAGGGACAAGCTCTGTAGGTTAAAGGACCCAGTGGACCCAATTAGACAAAATAATATAATTTACAAAATACCCTGCAATGACTGTGAGTTAGGTCAACTACATAGGTGAAACTAGTAGGTCAGGGGTAGTCAGATTGTCAGAACATAAGAATTTAGGTAAGGTAAGAATGGTTGACCCAGAGAAGATAAGTAATTTAGAAAAAAGCTCAGCAATTGCAATGCATGCATTAATACACAACCACACAATAGGGTGGGAGGGAGAGGGTTAAAATTCTAAAAAGTAATCTAGGTAGGTGGAGAGCGAGAGAGGTTGATTACTGAATCTTTGTTCATTGAATCTACACCCAACACATGCAATAGGAATGAATCATCACTCATACCTGAAATATGGAAAATATTACTACCAATCAAATCAAGTGCAAATCAAGTGGAAAACAATGAAACTATCTAAATGAATTTAGGAAGTCGTGTGATTACCTTGATATGATTATGAGCAATAAATTGTGCTCGAAACGTCATCAGTAAATATTACTGTATAACACTGTGAGACTCTATCAAACTAAAATTTACCCATAATGGAAGTATATTGCTTTGTTGTTGTTCATTCCATAATAATTATTATGTCTTTGGTTGATTGTGTTACAAAGGTACTCAGAACTAATACTAAATTCGTTGACATTTTCAAATTAGTTAGCCCCAGTAACTAGCTAACCAGAATTCAAGAGGTTTCAATTGATCCGGGTACACAGTTAATGTGCTCAACGGCAAACGAGCTAAGTGACTACTATCAGGTGTTGATGTCACTTTGATCTGACTAACTAGCTAGCTGTCTAGCAAGCACTACTGATGGATGATATGATTGATATGCAACTACTCAAACAGATCAATCAGTAGTATGTAGTGACAGTTATTCAAAATACATATGTACATCTGATTCGACCAGAAAAATGCTTTATGGTGTTAATTCGTAGTCCTATGCAACTTCGATAAAAGGTATAAAAAGTCAGCACTATTCACCAATATTAGAACGACTAGGACGAAAACCAAAATAAATTTCATCTTCGACTGTAGATGTGCAAATGTGTTATGAAATAGATGGATGGGTGAAGGTGATATTGGTGACACCTTTTATATACACTAATGAGTCTGTGCACTTATTTATCTAGTTTTTTTTTCAAATGACAGCGTTCGCTTTTTCCACATATAAAACATTTCGATCATCTCAAATATGTCCATGCGTAAATAATGCAATAAATATTCAGGAGGATTCCTTAAAAGACAGTTGCAGCGAAGAGGAAAATTTTCTTTTCGACGAAATCATCAACTAGGCTGTACATTCGTGTATTTACGATAAATGGGCGGGAGAGTTCTAGAATAATTAACGGGATGGGTAAAACTCAAACAAAGTAGCATCATAATTACTGAGAAGATTGACATATTGTTGTGCAATTAGGGGTTAGAAATGTAGAAATAACAAAAATGGACAGGATGTTTGGATAGACAAATCTAGTGGGATCATAACTAATGCGGCGAATAATTGTTTATGCAATTAGGGATTAAATATGTAGAAATAATAAAATGACAAAATAGACAAGAAGTTCGGATATGAAAATATGGTAGTGTAAACAGGGATTAAGAAAAACTTAAAAATTACATGAATAAACAGGAATTTTGCATAACTAAGGCAATGGGATAGTCACTATTAAAAGAATTACCTGTTTATGATGGCCACGGCAGGGACAAGGGTTGGACGTATTTCTTTTGGATACATAGCGTGGTTTTGAGTTTTGGATAGCTGGTGTCTCGGCTTCCCCAGATGTCTGAATTTTACTCCCTTAGATAGGTTTGGTCGATTCTTTAAAAACGAAATAAACGTGAATAAGTGAAATGGAGAGAGAATTGGTCAGTCATTGTGTGCATATATACACGTCAGAATGTGTAGGCTGGTTTTTATATCTACATCAACACTTTGGATGTAATTGGTGGAAGGCTGAATATGAGAGCTGTCAACGGTGTGACAGTAACAGTTTATTTTCCAAAAAATTATTATCACTGTTATCACTATTATGACCATCACTTAGATCAAGGGTTCTCTGTAGATATTTGTATTAGAAGAAAGTAGACATTCATTCACGAAACCATAAACATCAGTTGGAAAGATCATAGAGACGCCCAGATAGCACTGGACACAGCTGTTTTGTCCAAATCTGGGACTCAACAGCATTCTACATCCATATTCCCTTGCATCCCTTGATAGGGCACAAACACGGGATCTGTAGACTGCTAGACCAGCTCATTGACGATTAGGCATTTTCAATAACCTATGAATGCTAACTTCTTGAATTTGGGGATTTGTAGCTTCTCTGGGTTTCGATAACCTCTCTAAGTGATGTTGTGTTATGACAGAATTCATGTAGAAACTAACTTAGGTCTCTACAAAATCGCATAATCTGCATATCAATCTATCCATAGCTCACTAGCGGCTACTTTGTGAATGTTCTGAAGCAGTTATGAAAAGTGATGACCAGTGGTGTCCAGTATATCAAAGTGATGTGGATGTTCATCAAAGTCATTCATTCAGACTGGAGTCATATCAATGATTTGGAGAAATTAGAATTCATCCATCATCGAATTTCTTTTTATATGGCTGAATGACCAATGAGCTTGACATCATGATCCTGAAGGTCCCAGGTTGGATATCTGATAGGGCCGTTTGTAAGGACTGCTGAGGACTCCTGAAGAGAAAAGAAACATCTATACGGCACTCACCCTGGCTCTTAATGTTACTCTAACTTATGTATTTCATTGATCGAATCTTCATTATTATTGATATTATTAATATTATTATTATTCAAACCTTACTTTCTGTGGGGAACGCAGTGCACCAGCTTCATATGTCCATTGTGATTGGTCATCCGCCATGCATTTCTACTGTCTGTGTCATTGCCTACAATCTTTCATTTCCCCTTTAGTCAACCTTATTTCCATGTCATCCTTTTATTGTCCGTTTTCAATCTCTTGTCAATCCTTTGTCTTACTGATTCCTCTTTGAAAAGGAGACAACTAAACACTTTCTTCTTTTCAACAATTGTGCTTTTTGTATTCTCGCCTTTTCCTTTGCTATATGTTCCGGTATATCCCCTCGAATACTCATTTCCCCTTGGGTATTTCCCAGCAAAGCCTAAGTATTCGTCCACCTTGTTGGGAGAATACAGCTTCCTATCTCTGTTGCACAGTGTTCTCTCTAATCCACGACTATAACTTATAAGACAGAAGCTATTAACAGGTCTAGGTTTCTTTTCCATAGATGGACTTTTCAACCTTACCCTCGTAATGATCATATTCCATGGTGAATGTAATGTTTGAGTGGATCTGATTGAGATGGTTAAATAAAACAGATGTGCGACTCGTGTTGTCAAAAACAACAAATCTATCATTGACTTATCGGCGATAGTAGCTTATTTCATTGATAACAGAACTCAATCACGTCTGTTCGCGATGACCCATGAAAATATTGATGAGAATAGTTGGTAGAGGTAAACCTATCTCCATTTCATCAATTTGTTGGTAAAATTGGCTGTAAAATTTGAACTGGATGTCTTTTGCACTGTGAAGTGTGCATCATCATTCCCCTTGTAATCTTGTTGAACAGACAATGTATGTGTGTTTGCGAATTATCTCCTTTAGCCACTTAGCATCAGTCTCCATATTTTATCATAATGTTATGGTATAAATAGGACTGTAGTGCATACTTTGATTGTACACTAGTCAGTAACTAGTGTGATGTGTCTAGACCTTTCTTTGGAGAAAAAACGGAATTCTGTCAGTCCTCCTGTAGGAGGTGAATCGCGAGCCCGAAAAGCTCAGTGGTAACGTCTGTGACTACAGTGAGCACTGGGTGACGTAGGTTTGAATCTCAGAAGGGACATGAGTTCCTTCAAGATTGAAGATATGTCTTGCTGACTGACTGGTAGTGCCAACTAGCACGAAACCTGAGTCAGACAAGCCTTCTTGCCAGTTACTTCCAACCTCCTAACATCGACAATTCAAAGTGCACCGTGATGGCGAGTTACCTAGAATGGTGGCCACATTGCGAACCTGACTGATAAAATTTAGTCTACATGGGGTCATTTTTATGCTGCCATCTGTCACTCCTTGTACTATGATGTCTAACATAGGTAGTTCCAATAATTTCATTCTCTGTTGCAATAGTGAATTTTACTGACGCTACATGACTGTTTTTTATGTAGGAAGAACTCCTCAATATCATTACTTTTCATTATTAGTGACGTGCATTCATCCACCAACATTTTATTGATGACCTGAATGGTTTAAGTGCATTCTGTCCTCTCAAAAATCCATGAATATGGCAGCTATTATCAGTGAGATTGGCAGTCGCATGTCTATTCCTTCATTCTGTTGGTAGATTTTTCCTTCAAACGTAATGTTGTTGATAGACTTAATTCAACTCATTTTATTTATTTGATCGGTTCCACAATGCCCTAAATTTCTCATGACATTAACTGGACTACTCTGTTTAATTAATATTTAGTTGAAATTCATGTGACAGTTTGATAATATGTATAAAATGCATTACTTAAACGAATATTAGACTAAATAAGGAAGCAAATTTATAGGATAATCAAAGATAGTTGAGGTAACGACAATATTAACTTGTAAAAGACAGAGAGGAAAGGTGGAACTCTCAGATAATTACAGTCAAGTAATGATGACCAGTGTGGGGAAGGCATTTGCATGAACTTCTCCCAAGCACTTTAGTTTAGCTACGTGGAAGATGAATTCAAAAGACAAAATCAATATTAGAGGGAAAAAGAACAAGAAGTTCAACAAAGATGGTGATCTTCTCGGCGATTTCATTCTCAAAAGCAGCTGTACAATCGCAGTTATAAACATAAGTCTACAGAGATACATAATTCTATATAATAACGAAGTACATTAAGGGTCATAATAATTTTCAACTTGATCTGAAAGTTTGAAGGTGTGGGTATAGATTATAAGAGGCATGGAGACAAGATTACATAGAATTAGAAAGTAGTTTTTATAACGACTCAAGGTGGGAATTGGATGAGCATGGGAACAAGTTGAAAGAATAATATTTAAAATTACAAAAAGGTTTGGAATGATTGGGATGAACAACTGGACCAAAGGTGACAAACCGAACTAGATTTATGGTAAATCCAGGGGTTGAACCAGTTTCTTTTGAATACACAGCTCCGGTTTTCCAAGGTATATGGCTAAAGCTTCTGCGGTACAAAGAAGTTGGAAACACCCTGCTTGTTTACTTTGTTAATGACTCTGAATGATGGTTCAGTTGAGATGCTGTGACAGGCATTGACGAGGTGTTCAGTTATGCCGCTTCTGACTGAACCAGTGCCTCCTCTTTGCAGCCATCCTGCTCAATGTTATCTAACACGTTTTGATAGGACTCGCATATTCATCGGAATACAGTGGATGACATTAAAGTGCTTTGTTAATAACGTCAATTTTATCTTCAATGTCCAGAATATAAGCTTAATAAGAGCTACGAATAGACCCTTCGTCTCATGGTTAACCACGAAGTATGGTGTTTATAAATCCAATGAACAATGAAGAATGTTAGTGGTATGAATGAAATGGAGGTTTGCATTGGAATTAGTGATTCGAGGGCTTTTCCTTGCAGCATTATCTTCCATAAACCACTAAGTGGCATTGATTAATGGTCATTTGAGCAGTTTACAACTTGTTTCTTCAAAATGAACGTCATTCTGAAATGAATCAACAGGCAATTTTTATTCTGTTTACTAATGTCCCACTTGTTATTTTCTCCATATCTGTTTTGTAGACGATCAGAGAAAAGTATACACATTACAGATTTATGGAGGTGGCGGCACAAAGTCTCTACTTCTCCTCGAGTTAAATCGAACTGTTTATCTGCCTCACATTAATAATCCAGCGCATATAAAGTGTATAACTATCACTTGTACAGTGTTGAGTCTTTGTATAACAATTTTTATTCTATCAGCTTTATTCCTCATACTCCCAGTGATAATTATTACAGACACAGAAGTGTGTCGCTATGTGGATACTGATTCAGGTATTGTGATAACCGATCTTGTCCTGGATCTTTATCTTCAATATGAATGGATAAATTCTTTGTTCACAAACAGGACACTTTCAAAGCAGTTGATGAATTTATTGAATTTTCCAGCACCGAAACGTGTTTATTCAACACTAAGGAATAAATGTAAGCCAACCATATTGAATGGTAGTCAGGAGAGTCAACGTTATGGTCTATTGAAACTACTGAACTACAGTGATATAATCGATTTTGAGAAGATATTGTATTCACCTGAATTACAACAGAAGATAAATGAAACGGAGAAGTGAGTTGTGAGTTTTGATTTCTCCTCATCACCTTCTATTATTGTAATAATTCGTCTTCGATATCTTGTTCACTGTTACTGAGACAGAATATCTGCCGTCTCAGGAGGGTTTAAATTCACTTCCTGGAACAGATGTTTCATGTTCGAGGTTATAAGCGAAAACGTTTTTATTTGAGAGTTTATCTTCCTAGCCAGTTTTCCGAGGTTGGAGTATTTGGAGTTGGATTTGAACCTATTACCAATTGACTGAGAGTTGACTGCTGAATCCAAGGGACCACTTATTCCTGAATATTTACTGTGATTATTATTACATGCAAGCACTCTGATTGAAAAGGACACAGCAAAGTGGTAATGTTTGTCTGTGATTATTGGAAGATTTATACACACAGCGAAAATCCTGGAGATATTACTCTTACTTTGTGTTAGTATATGCCTTCCATTACAGTCGAAGAGTAGCTGCAGTGAACTATTCTACTCATTTTGCGTGCATTTTATCATTATTCTCTTGAATTCTGAGTGTAACGTACGTCTTTTACATCACATTGGTATTTCACGATGTTATCTACCCCTATAATTCATATAAGCTTATACTTCCTTCTCAGATGACCTCCTTCATGCCGTCCTCCAACGTCAACTGGTTGTTTCTCATTCAAATTCTACCCAAGGACCTACCTTGCTTGTGATAACAATCAGCGGTGACAGCATCATATGTCCCATCAATCTACATTTCCCTCATCATACTGGTTGGGCGTTTGGTCTTCGGTAGGGTCGCTGGTTAAATGTCTAGTTGATTATCTTTTCTGGTCGACCAACCATTTGAATTTTAGCACGGGGCAGAGAGGATGAGTATTGACGAGAATCTGAGGTTTACTAGAACTGCTTTTCACTATCCTCCAAGTCTCTGAATTATGTAAAAGCACTAATTTCATAATAATAATAATGATAATAATTTGCTTTATTCCAGAAACAGTACTAGTGGTACAGTGTGGAATTTTCAGCACATTAGTGCTTAAGATATGAAACCCATTCGCTGAGCTAAGTGCTATAAATTTCCACAATGATATCATAGTATGGAAGGTTTGCTTTAGCGATTGTAGCTGGCTGTGACATCCTTATCTGTCTAGATAAATATAGGGTATCACTTTTTTCATATTTCTCCCACTGATAATGACTGATGCTTTCCATTGTTGGTTAACCGTCTTCATCCTCTCTGTCTCCACTATGTTCAATTGAAGTCGTGTTTTCGCCTCCTCATTTGACTACTAGTTTGTGTTTACCTTTGTTTCTTCGAGTTTTCGTTACATTAGACATGATTGTCGTCCCAATCTCATTGGTTTCCTGACGGGCTTTCGCATAAACCAGTCCACCACAGTCAGCAGCATCTTCGGTGACAGCAGACATCCTAGCCATGCTTCTCTGGGTTTAAAACACTATTATTATTATTATCACAGACACCTATAGGAGTCATGAAAATCGGGGGCACTAATTAATATTATTCCCTTTGATTCCAATTGGAACATAGGTCTTCAACAACACAGTTCCACTTTGTTCTATTTCCTGATTCCCTCTTCACCTGAGTCCACGAATGCCCATAATATCGCATCTCCTCTGCCCCACACGACCTCCTCCATGTCACTCTCGCACTGAGGACCCACTCGTCGCTTCCCATTCGGATTACACTCGAGTGATGACCAGCATTTCATGCAGTCATTCAACGCCTTCATAGTGTATACTCAATCCACCTCCATTTTATCCTACATATTTGTTGAGCAGTAGATTCTTGGTTATTTTATTGATCGTTGGAATTTCGTTTTCCTAATTCTCTCTGACCAGCCGGCCATCTGATCTTCAGTAGAGAGCTAGGGAAGTGGACAGCTGTTCATAAATGTCTGCAACTTGCTGGAAATGCTTTTCTTGACAGGCGATAATAGACAGCCCTGTCTTACTCTTGTATTTACTTCGAACGCCTCGCTGAGTTTTCCGTTGTGGATCACCTGACACGTGGAATTGTCATATAGCCAACCGCTGAATGCGGTTGATGAAGACTTGGGTCACGCCTTAGCGTTGAAGCATTTTTCAAAGGGGCATCAGCAGCAGAACGACTTTTACTCCTGTGAATTTCAGTCTGCTTCTGTTAGTTCTTAAATTCAGTACGACATCATCCGACCAGGGATAGTTCTAGGTAGGGTAAATTTCCAAAGGTCTAAAATAACACATTACTAATTATTTTCAATTGTTATTTAATTCCTTTACGTTCCAAGTGGAACATAGGACTTCAAGCTAGATGTCTGAAGTTTTGGTAGTAGTGGTTTCATTTTTACGAAGTAGGGTTGCAAGTTTCACATTAGCTGAACCTTCCTTCCTTACCAGCCTTCCTGCCGGATTAGGAAGGTTTAGGAGTGCGCTGGCCAGGGATTGAATCTCGGACCACATGCACGGTTAGCCAGCGTTCTACCGCTGAACCACCTTCACAAGGTGCTCGTGTATTTAATCTTTTTCACATACACCGACAGTCCCTAATGAGAACGGTACATCTATCTGTAATCTTATACTTTACATTCTCCCATCATTCGAACAGTAGGGATTATCACAATGTGCTGTAATGTAAAGAGATACTTAGCTCTACATGAATTCCATAGATCTTTAGGGAGGACATATCTGTCTTAAATATGATGTTAGATCAGATAAATCGGAATGACTCACCGAATGAAGGGCAAGCCTATCTGACGTATAGTTTGAAGAGCTCAGTCATTGTTCTTCGTTTCATTGTGGATACATAATGGTTGAAAGACGCTGCAAGAACTAGCGACGAATCATGCTCCAACCAACAACAACAACAGCAGCAACATCCACCCCCAATCACCATCAACGGGAGGGATTTGAAAGAGGGTACTTAATTCACTTATCTAGGGAGCATTGTCTCAACTACAGGAGAAACGGACGAAGATGTGAAACCGTGAATCGGAAAGGCGAGAAAAGCATTCATCAACCTGAAACCAATCTGGAAATCTTCGTCACTCACCATCAACAACAAAATTCGGATTTTCAATACAAACGTCAAGTCAGTCAGTTCTTCTATACGGATCAGAAACTTGGCGGGTCACAAAGAATATTTTCAACAGGTTGCAGACCTATATCAACAGCTGTCTTCGCTCTATACTGAAGATCAGATGGCCGGAAAGAATCACCGACAAGAAACTATGGGAACAAACAAAACAAGAACCAATCGCCCAACAAATATGCAGGAGAAAGTGGAGATGGATTGAAGACTCGCTGAGGAGGCCGCTGGGTGACATCGCGCGTCAGCCCATAGCTCGAGTGGAACCCGAAAGGGAAGCGGCGAGTGGGACGTCCAAGTGTGACATGGAAGAAATCGTGTGAAGGAGAGTTGAAACAGTATGGACTAACATGGATGCAGGTGAAAAGTACAGCAGAAGACAGAAGCAAGTGGAGGCGTGCAGTTGAAGCCCTATGTTCCACTAGGAACCCAAGGGAAAAATAACAACAATAATAATGTTGAGAAATCTGAGCGTTAAATTTGACCACTCTTGTTCAATTTATAATTCCATATAATATCCGATTACCTGATATAGCATATTGGCACAGTACTCATAGTCAAATCATTGATGTTTCTTCTACATAACCTGACTTATTTAACTTTATTCCATCCTGTTTCTCAATTCAATTTTCAGCATATCTGGAATCGCTTCATTTCTATTGGGTGCACGAAACTTTATTGATTAACGTCGTTACGACTAAGTGTTGTTGAGTTTTAGGATCTCCTACCTTGACTTGAATGCTCCCTCAGAACATGACACTTTGGAACTTGAAAGTGAACTAGATGTCATCTACTAATACGCTGACATGCCTGAAGAAATTGTGTATATGCTCGGATTTCACCATACCTCCACATATCTCCACTGTAATCTAGGAACTGAGACAAACGTTATAACAGATTTCCGTTCGTATTTGGCTATAAATATGTCTGCTAATGTCTGTCTGTTTTCGACATGGAACTTTGCACATATGTGCGGCAGTTCAAGTCGCCACACTTCCTCCATGTAGCACACAAAGCAAGAGAAGAAAGTAGAAGAAATGCATAATATAGACAGTAAACAGAGGTGTGAGGCAAAGTAATAGTAATAACGAAGAACAAAACAGTTTAATTGGAAATCATAGGTCACAAGGAGTGGATGCATCTGCGCCACTGAGAACGATTTTGAGCCATGTCACCACCTATTGTTTCCAACCATTGGTTTTTACCGTCCGGAGGACCCCAACCAGGAAGTCTACGTGACTGGCTTAAACTAACTGTTGTAGATTTCATTGACTGGTGCCATGTTTTCGTTTGACCGCCGTAGCTCTTTTCTAGCCTGACCCTATATCAGCTAACATTGTCCATTGTCGAGGAAGTCGATGACTAGGCATACGTAACACATGTCCTAACTATCTCAATCGATGCAATTTCACAGCTATGTCAATTGTTTTCCCCTCCTTTCCTAGCACTCGACGCCTAACCTCAATATTGCTCACCTTATTATACCACTTCACGCGGGAGATAGAATGCAGACACCTATGTTCGAAGACAGCTAATCTTTTCATGTCTTCCACCCTCAATAGCCAGGTCTCACAGTCATAAAGGAGGACGGAGTGGACTACTGAGCAGCACACACGCCATTTGGTCGATAGTCGGATGTCACGTCTACGCCAGAGACGGCAAATTCGAAACAAGCACTCTGTATCCGTGCTGATATTTCGTCAGAGATCAACCTGTTGGGGCTGATGGTTCTAATGATGTCTGCTAATACTAGGGATTTTGGAGGTCTTGATGTAAACCAATATTGAACCATCATCCAGTTATTAACAGTGTGTCACCCTATCTTATAACGTAATGACATAATGTTTGTTTGGAATTTTAGTGACTCTGTATAACGAAATTTTGTACACCTTATCTTCAAACCACTATCTGCACAGATCTTTCATGTTGTGCCTGATACTGCTGGCCTTCATATTGTGTTTCTTTTCACGTCTCCCATGTGCCTCAGCAACGCTGTTTTATTTACTTCCTCTGAAATCGTATCCACCTCCCTGTTATTTGATGTATTTTATGCCAATGAACGTCCCTCTATATACTACTGATAAATCATATCGGTAGCTCACGCCATAATAACAATTAAATCTACCTCGAAACAGAATTTTGAGTAGCGTTTATTAAAGATTGATATTTTAACTGAGAAAAGATTTTATTGACTGTTTTTGATTCATCTTTTTTCTTTTTCAATCTCCCCTACTTCATTTTTTCACCTTTTCTTACACTAACAAGTTCAACTGTCAATGAGATCGTGAAAATGGATTTCTCTGCACTCATCCCGTCAGATTTGGATAGTTTAACAACACTGGTGCGGAAATTATCCGTTTATTTAGATGGAAAAGATTATAAGGTGAGCGAAATATGAATACTAATGTCCCGTTTTGTATATTAAAATAATAATAATCACAAATATAGTCAAGTAGCATTGGGTAGCTGTTTCGTCCTGGTTTGGGACTCCTCAGTGCTGCACGCGAAACACTCTGACAGAGGTCGAGCTATAGTACCTTGTTGATACGAGACCAGGTAGTCTCCCATGAAGCGACTTGAACGTCTGTTCTGAAAAGATGCGTTCACAAACGATCATGATAATTGATATTACATCATTTGAAGCACTTCTGTTATATATTAAATTGGCTCCAATACCCTGCCGTGTTCTTGTTGATTTTCCTATGAAATTTTCAAAATAGTAAGATGGAAGTGATTTTGAGAATTTGCCTGAGAGCAGATTGGGATTCAAGGAGGCAATCGGATGATAGAAGCAATCTTAAATTGACTAAGAAGGATGAATTCTGATGGATGTCAAAGCCAAATGGTACACTGATTCTAGCAGAGCAGACTATGTTGTATACGTGCAGAATGCAAGCAGTCAGAAAACAATAAAATCGATATGGAAATGCGGCTAGATGGATCACATATGACTAATTTTACGGCCTTCTGTCTTTTGCTTAGTCATCTGTGTTTCCAAAGATGTTTTTGTCGCGAATTATAGCATATCGTTCAGTAAGGGAGCTAAAGTTCCGCCTGACAACTCATCAACAAAAGGATTATTATGAGTGTGTTATGATAGGGGTGATTGTCGATGCAAAATTTCATTTTCAGTAATACTGCTAATGCTTGTACTCCATCTGTTGAAACGAAGTCAAATTTATTGTTATCTGGTTCTTTATGGATTCATCGTTGTGTTCATCTAACTATTCACGAGACAGCTTTTGCAACCATATGGGTTTTAATAAATTCAATCGCCAACTGACTAATTCACACGTCACATTGTCATAGTACGGCGTTTAGTCCACTGAATTAAATTTAAGACTTACTGAGGATAAGCAATGTGTTGGGCATTATTTTGATTTTGTTGATGGTGACTAGCGTAGCAGTGGAATCCAAGACTATTTCGACGTTCATTCTATGTGGAACTCATCGTTTGGATGTGCCTGTGATTGATCATGTTCTTAGTAAAGCCCGAAGCTAACACCCATCGTTTTTAACGTCAAAGCACTATTTGGCAGACCAGTTGTCCACAAAGACAGAGCATTTACCTCTGATAAAATCGATCGACAGGTACACTAAGGCAGTTCTGGCAACCACGTTGTCTTTTTCATCATAGTTTCATCGAATAAATTATTCCAAATAATAAAATTGTTTCCAGTGATGTCACCAGCATAATCTAAGATCATGAATGGGGTAGATGTTATAGGAAACCAAGACTGCTTTAACTTCGGAACAACTTTCTTCAGCGTAGATAAACGGCGCATGATTCATTAAATTGACAATAGAACGAAGCGGAAATCTGAAAACATGAGGTTAGCTTTATGAGAGGATGGCAGACTGAATCAAATACCCCGTATCAGATGCACTTACACCCATCTGAGAGGGAGGCAGCGAACATACAAGATTCTGCTGATGGTCATCATAAGTAATTTGAAATTATTCCTGTTGCGGAAGAGGCAGATCTTGTGTGTAAGTAGACCAGTGGATAACTAATGACGTTTAAAGCAATCAGCGCTGGGTTCAAGTGTCATTGGGAATACCATGAGTAACTACGGTTGCATATCCGACCATCCGAAGAGTTCACAGCAGGATAAAATGCACATTTTCGACTCCACTAAGAGAAACTTAATTAATTCAAATCTGATACATTCGAATACTGTGTGATTTTAAACATTGGCAGTACTGTCGTTGTCTAAATATGCAGTAATCATTAATTAAAATGTCTAAGCATGACTGAAAAGCACAAATGACTTATGTGAAATTCATCTGTGCAGACTGTGGAAAAGAGGAAATTAACATCTCAACTAACTGATTTGAAGAAAAGAACGAACTGCAATGTGATGACAGGCTTTTAACTCTGAATGCTCTGAATGCTTCCCAGATGTGTATTTTATACCTGTACACAACCGATAACAGGAATTATATCAGAAGTAAGGGAACATTCTACACATCAACGCTGAACTAACGACTTTCGCACTTTATTACTGTTATATTACGAGAGTGGAGATTTTAAATATAATTACCGACAGGCTAAGTGGATGGACTAATGCTCAGATTGTCAAAGATGAAAAGTGAACTGGAGTCTAGGATTCTTTGGGATTGCACAGGGCTTCAAGCTTCACCCTTGAAGTTTCAATAGCAGTGTCTTCTTACAGAGTGTGGATTCTAGCATAGCAACTTCCGATAACAAGACGAACTTGGAGATTATTCAGCCAGTAGAGACCGAAACAGAGTGAGTTGCTGTATATCGGCCACACTGACTAAAATTAATTCCTTATCAAGGTAATCTGATTGCCAGATGGCTGTTTAGTGCACATGTAGCTGAGATTAGTGGGAGAGAGTGTTGATTTCTTCTGGTTAAGGACTTAACTCCAAATATTTGCAAACTAGTCAAGTTTATTGTTAACTACTTCTCCACTACTACTGATATTATGTTAGTAGTATATGCTGTAAGTTTCCTGTTTTTTGACTTTTTATTTGTATCAGTCTACAATTCAAGAAATCAATACATTCACATCACTGAAACCAAAGATTTTGGAATATTTATCAGAAATGCAAAGCTTTGCTCAATTGAACAATCAGACTAACAGCTTAATCGATATAATTGTGCAGATAAATAGCTCACTGGTGATGTATGATAAGATTTCTGCCTCTCTGAATGCTTTAACCTCTCCTTTTGAACAACTTGATGCCAACAGAAATTTAACAGGGAAATTTGATGAGATATTCAATGGATTAAATAATTTTCGAATTGTAAGTGTTGTTCTTTTTTGTGGTTCCTGTTTGTGTTGCGATTTTGTCAGTTTATCCGTAATATTATTGACTGCATATGGTTGTGTGATGATCTCCAAGATGTTTGGAATGTAAGTTTTCTGTTGGTTGAGGATCTTCTAAAAGTCACTTATTATTATTCTTTGAATTCGAAGTGGAATATATGGCTTCAGAAGCACACCACTTTGTTCTCTACAATCCTCTTCAGCTGACAGCCTGATTGCTGATAAGCTTAAATCTCCTCCTCATACGAGCTTCTCCATGTCACCGTCGAGTGAACAACACACTGATCCATATTCAGGTCTCTATAGAGAGCCTTCCTTGCTGATGATGTTCCTCAACGATCCCTTAGGCGTATTTCAAATCTACCTTGATTTCCTTAGGTATATTTGTTGGGGAATAGGTAGGTTCTTAGTTGGTTGGTAACCAGAATTGCTTAATTCTAATTCCGTCAGACCACCTTTCTGATCATTAGTGTAGAGAGAGGACATCAGATAAATTTACTCTATGACAGAATTTTATTCTACTGCAATGCCCATGTTCTATTCTTGTATCAATGAGCTCTTCAGTAATCCGTGACTTTCAGTGATTCTCTAACTGACGTCAGTTCTTGATCAGTCTTTAACAATAAACGTAGGCACGTGACGCTGACAAGTTTTCAATTATCGGTCCAAAATAATTGAGTCAAACAGTCAGTTGAAAATTAGTGTGCTACCAGTCATGAAGGATTATCCTTTACTTAATAACCACAAAAGTCTTTCGTTCACTGCATTGTATTCCTTAAATAGGTTTGTGTGATGTGCGACGTGCACACTGAATTACAATAATGCTCCTTAGATCAGTTCAAAGTTAACAATATGTGGGAATTTAATCTGCTCATCTCCTCGCTCTTGCTTGTGTATGTTTCCCCTCAGAATCACATATATCTGATAATAATTTTCCGTTAGTGGGATTTTTCGTTCTATCCACGGATATCGTGCTCTGTAAACCTTCATCACAGGGTAGATAGTGGTGATAGTAGCCGTTTTCTTCAAATAATTAAGTTGTTCATATCTACACCACTCCTTCTTCAGTTTCATAATTCTCTCGTGAATTAGCTTCCAAGTGTCTGCAAGTAGTCATTATTTGTCTTACCTATTCATCCCTCTTAAGATCGCTGTATATGTTCCCTTAACATTACTTTCAGAGAGATGCAGTGTGCTTCCATACTGGTTTCCTTGGTGATGCTACATAATGCCTGTGACTTTTCTCCTACGACTACGGTGGATTTGCCCTTTGTGGACTTATCCATAAGTTTCTGGGTGTGTGAACTAGAATTGTGGTCCATCTTCAGTTTACTTGAGGACAGTAGATTTGACCCTAAGTGTTGTTTGCACAAGACGCTGGTCTGAATTCACAACTGCTTCTCTTCTGGATTCTCTGTCCACAAGGCTGCATCTTTAAGATGAAGTCTGTGTGATTCTGCTACGTTCATCAGATGAAACACGTGTCAGATTGTGTATATACTTTTGCTTATAGACTTCGTCACCGATCATCAAATCTTTCAAGTCGCAAACGTCCGTCACCGAAAGCCTCCTGACCAATAATATCTCCTGTTCCCAATTTGACATTCATAGTACCTATTATAATTTTGATGTTGCCATCTGTGATCAGGTCTGTTATTGCTTGCTATTGCTTGTAGAAGTTTTCCTCTTTCCTCAACGGGTCTAAGTTGTTTGTAGCACTGGATGATTGTAATTCTTCTACCTTTGAAGTTGAATCTGGCTGTCATGTTCCAGTAGGAGACTGATACTCTCTGCGTAGGATATCTGGATGTTACTAGCGACACAGTGATTGTCGCTCCCTTAGTGTGTTCTTGTTAGTCGTTTAGGTGACCAGAGTACAATATTTACTCTCCAGTTAAACATTTAGACAGTCCATGTGTTCTCCCAGATTTCTGTCAATAATATGTCATATCTTCTTATTTCTTTTGCAACCTGAGCAGCCTTGTCAGATTTAAACATTTGGCAGGCATTCAATATCCCCATTCATAATTTCGAGTTTTTTGAGTGAAGACACATCGGCTGATTTGTATCCTGACGGTTTTCACCAGCATGCGTCGTTCTCACTGTTCGATCCCAGCGAAGAATAAGTCTACTTTTTACATTTTTTCTGGGAGCTGAAGTTTTTCTAACGATTGGATTGATTTTCCAGGGTAGATTCGTTAGTCCCACACCAAAATCCCATTCTTTATCGAAAATTTGGACCCGGTAGGAAAATAAGCAAGGCTGGCTAATCTACAGCTCATTATTATTATAACTGGTGGCCGGCATTCTAAGCGGAATGTGTGGCGTCAGATGCACATCTCTATTGTACAGCATTCTTTCATTTTAAGCTGGTTCCACAACTCTCTATAAGCTTTCATTTTCCCTCTGTATGATTTTATGCATGTCATCCTAAGATACCCATAATTATGGGTATCTTTTATTAAATTTTAATTAGTGCTATCCAGATCAATACATTTCCTTACATTTTCCTTTTACATAGCTCAGTCTGGATCCTCTGGCATTAGAACAACCCATTCGTCCACTGTTCCGACAATCTGTTCAATCCTTACTCAAAAATGCAAATATCCTGTTAAAATATCAATTCAATGATGTCTTGTTTACAAATATTTTGCCATGTGATAAATTAAACAAGCTGTTACTAACATTAACACAAACATTCTGTGATACCACACTGAGCGGTAATGGTGGAAGCATTTTATGCTTGGGTAGTTATGTGTTGAGTATTTCATTGACTTATTTTTTACTGCTGATTACACTATTGATTTTTGTAATTTACTGTCGGAAATATACTGAACTCTGTATGTATACGAGATGGGAAAACGTTCCCATACACAGATCTGTTGAATTGTGTCAAAAACTGCTTGAACAGAAATAAGATTTCTTAGAGATATTCATTCGTTTGTCTTATTTTCTCTGTGTGCGTGTGTGTGGGTGTATAATTGTGTCTGTTTCGTTTGACAGTCGGTCTTCAATGAGAATAACAATTGTCCTTACAGGTAGCTATTCACTTAAAGTTTTGTCTAGGAAGACTTCAGAGTGTTGTTTGTGAGAACGAAGAATAACATGAAAGTCATACAAAACACATGATTCCATTATATCTGCATTCTGAGTTGTGTTCATCAGGTGGAAATATCGTCTACAAACAATTGTGTACTCATATTTAGCGTGATTATCTGAAATCAGGCTAATTTAACATACTTATGATGTCAAGAAGTCAAGCCAGGCTGTTGATTTACTTAACAGACTATCTTCTTATCATTATTCGCTTGCGTTCTGAGTGGAATAGCATATCTCCACTTCGTCCTATCATCTGCAATCTACTTTGGCTTGTCCACTGTTTGTTTTTAAGCCTTTGTTTCCTCCGCGTCACCCTCGAATTGGTGTCTAACTCGTAGTAACCCATTCGGACTCCACGCGATGGCATAGCACTCACTTTCACTCAACAGTCTAATACATCTCCACTTCCTTCTGCATGTTGAATGGGTGATAGTTTCTTGATTGACGCGTTGCCGGAGTTTCTTGTTGCTTATCTTTTTTTTGCTGACCATGTGATCCTCAATATCAAGCGAAAAGCGTTGCTCAACAAAGTCTGCATTATACTGTCGGAAATGTTTCTAGGGATACACCAAATCCCTGAACCGTAAAGCAGAACTGATTTCACATGATTTTTAAAATTCTGAATCTTGTTCTTTATGCTGATTGTAGAGGATTTCCACATTAATTTCAGGTTAGTGAGTGTATGTCTTGTCTTTTTCATTTAGTCTGGCTGTGACATCATCTCCTGGTCGCCTACTTATAGTTGAGGCAGTGGTACCAAGATAAGTAGAAGAAGTGACTTACTTCAAATTAATTCCACTGAAGATGTTTGCTAATTGTTGTTGTTGGTTAGATGCCTCCATTATCTTTATCTTCTCTGTGTTCATATGATAATCTTTATCTTCTCTGCTTGCTTCTTCCGGGAACATTTAAGCTTCCGCCTGTAGATCATCGAGTCCACTCAACATTGGACATAAATGGATCGCGAAAACCAGAAATTCTAGAGTCTTCTCATCGAACCTGTGAGACCTTGTTATTCATTATCTCTGAATTCAGCTGTAATCCTCATTGATGTTTCTGATTTGATTTCAACTGCTAAATCATTGGTGCAGGTGTATTCATTCACTGAAATCATATTAACTGCTAATCAATCTAAATAGATATTGACTTCAAATGCCGTTTTGGTGAGTCAAGACATTCTTTCAGTGATCATATCTTGTAGTTCAAAGTGAATTCAAGTTAGATAACATAGTGACGTCGGTCAGAGAATTACTGAAAACCAGCGAGTAATGGACAGATGTTGAGTCCTAAATTGTCACTCTTCCGGAGTACACACCGATGATCTAACCCAGATACTTTCAGGTTACGAGATGATCCCACTGGAAAGGAATCAAACAACGCGTAAATTCTAACTTCTAAAACCCCATATCCAGGAAGATAAAGTGAAAACATGCCTTCCTGACTTAACAGCTAAGGCATTTTGTTTGAACTGTGAATGTTTATTTTTAAAGTTAAAAACGCTCACGTTTTAGTCTTTTGTCAACGATAATTTGTGCAAATTCTGCCATTTAAAGAATCATTCGAAATCAAGGAGTACTGGAAAGTTGTTTCGTCCTAGTTTGTGACTCTTGGGCAGAACACACCAGTGACCATATGGGGGATCGAGACTATAACCTTAAGCTTATGAGACTAGCCTATTGACTATTTATTCACTAGAAAGGAATCCGATAATACATAAATTCTACCATCTGTAAAGCCAAATGGAAGAAAGTGAGATGAAAAGCTGCATTTCTGGATTGACAGCTATGACCTTTGTTTAAAGTGCAAATATCAATTGTTAAGTTGGATCAATTTTTAACTGTAGGTATTTGTGAAAGACAATTTATGCTACTGTTGACATTCAGACTTGAAGCTAATTTCAATTCATTGTGACCTTGAATGTCGACAGGCTTTTACTTGTGTCTCAAAAAGGATACGTACACAAGGGCTTTCATTCATTCTTTGTAATCTTCAGCATCAGTTTTAAGCTGAAAAACCATCACCTGAATTCGATGCCTTCCAGGAAAATGTAATAAAATGAATAGCACAAGAAGAGTGTTTTTGAAGTATATACGTGTATAACTTTTGGAAGAATTTTCATGATACGATTGTTTTACAATCACATAAATAAGCTGAAATATTCAAGAATTAGTTGGTAGGGACTCTACTTGTTTCAGGTTTGACCACGCATTGATATCAGTTACGGAATCATTGAAAACCAGCGGGGAGTACTGAACAGTTGTTTCGTCCTAGTTTGAGACTCATCGGCAGTATGCATCCGGTTACAAGTCAAGCTGGGATAAAATTCAGGCGCTGAAACCCGATTCAGTGGCCATCCCATGAATTCTAACTTTTACCAGTTCGTGGTTTTAGCGTGACCACCAAACAATCTTCCAAATGGATGGACCCCACTGATAACGACGTCTCACTAGAAATCCAGGAAACTCCGTTCTGTAGCCAGTCACTAACGAGCATTAAATTAATTGTCAAGAATTAGCTTGTAGGAAGTGAAAAAGGTAACTTTTACACTTATTCAAGTCCTAATTTAGAATAAACAGCTATGACAGTTTTAACATACTCAATCAATGCTCAATAATCCATGTTCAAGTTATCTTTAAATTTAATAATTCACGATATCACATATTTGACAAAAAGGTCTATATCTTAAAAATACCCATAATTAACTTACATTAAAACAAAGAAGTTGATAGTTTCCTGTGAAACTTCTCTTTATGCAAAGACGAAAATCACAAGTGAGTAAATGACAAACCTCACTCATGATGAAATCACATCTCGATTAGCAAAGATAGAAACACGCCTCTGATTTACACCATATAGGCTATTCGAATTGTCAGAAGATAGACTAGAATAGAAGTTGTAAGCACCACATATGATTCAACTAGAAGTAAATCGTGTGAAGGTTGCATAATAATAATAGTAATTTTTGCTTTATTCCAAAAACAGTACTAATGATACAGCAAGGAATTTTCAGCATTCAGTTCAATATTGCATCTAATTTACTCAAAAACGACAAAAAAACAAAAAATAAAAAACATTACATAATAATGATAACAAAACGTTGTTATAGCAGCTATTTAGCAAATTACTGTAAGCAGTACGGAGAAAAATACGCATAAAGTATAAAATTATAGTAATAATAGTAATAACAACTAAAATAAAAATAGCATAGTTATAATTAAACGACAGAAAGGGTGACACCATAAAATTACAGAAAGATGAACAATGAAAGGGTCGATTCACTATGCTAATTACATAATAACTTATATGTTTCACGTCTAACGGAGTCTTCATCACATAAAATACGGACTAAATACGGTATTGTAGAATTTTTGTACTTAGTGGTTCGAGCATATAACTTCTTATATTGATTTCTCGTCCTACCTGATGACACACAAGGGGATAGTTGTGAATAAAGGGGGTGCAGAGAGTCTGACAGTACGGTCTTTGCCCATTTTGTACAGGAATTTATGTGTCTCTCGACTATAGTATTGGCGAGCTCACGCAGTGGCAAACCACGAGCCCTAATCACACCATTTAATACTCTTCGTAATATGGTATAGTCCTTTTTGAGAAGCCCAGGAAAGATTAATGGAGAACAATAGAGTACAATAGGTAAAATACAGGAGTTTAAAAATTGCAGAACTAAAGGTTGGTTGATACCTGATTGTCTTAACTTTTTAATGTAGAAGGTAAGACGAAACATTTTCTTGGAGATTGATAAGATGTGGAATGACCATGAAAGGTCAGAGGAAAGAACTAATCCAAGGTATTTAATGCTTGACTCGGTTTCAATTTCTGTGCCATCTATGCTACAGTTATCATGGGAACTAACTAGTTCATGTATGTCACGTCGATGCTTGAAAGTAAAGTTAACTGCCTGACATTTGGAAGGATTTAACATAAGGCCATTTGACTTAGACCACTTGTCTAACAGAATGCTATTAAGTTTGGAGCAGTCAGACTCGGAAGTGATAGGCAGTGATACAGTCAGTTCATCAGCAAACTTGACAAAATTAGTTTCGTTTAAATGTGGCAGGTCGTGTAGGAAGAAAGAAGAAAGAAAAGGAGAGAGGACGGTACCTTGAGGAACACCGGCTTTTGTAAGCAAAGCAGAAGAAGATTTGCCATTATATGCAGTATACTCCATTCTATCAGAAAAATAAGAATGCAACTAACTCTTAGTCCAGGATCCTTTTTGTGTCAACGAAATCTCCTACTGGTGAATAGACTTTGGCAATAGATACTTAATCATATTTCACTGTTACACCAGGAAAAAAGTAGAGACGTACATCAGTTATCCATTCCTCCAGTGTTTCTTCGTCGAGGTCCATTCATCAAAAAGGCTTGTTTATATCCAGATCAGAGTTTGTCTCGCATGTCGACAAATTTATTCAACACTTGAACAAAAAGACAACGTTGAGATTTACAAGTTTTATTTTCAAATTAACACCCTCAACACATTTGATTAACACTCAATAATCGAAATTTCGATTTGTCTTTCAATTGAGTCATTCACGATATGATGAAACACACTATGTCTAAAAGAGACAAATAGTTTTCAGCAGATTGAAATGAAGACGCAAACTTATGAGTTTTTAGCACTTCTTGAGACTTTTGGTCCAGAAAATACTTTTTTATATCAAAATTATCTTCTCGAGGAAAATTAAGTTCCAGTTTAATAAAATATATTGACATGTTGTGCAACAGATCTGGTCATGTGTTTGTCTGGTGTATTGATCACTTAGGAGTCGAATTAATTCACCAATTTTTGCTTATATCCTCAACATCTGTGGTTGAG